GACTCAAGCCTTGATTTAATCAATGGGACTTAAATACTGGTTTGGAGTTAAGCAGATGCTTAAATTAAGTCAGTAACTCACTTGACAGATATGGTCTAAGTGCTTAATCTCTTTATGCCTCATTTTCGTTATGTAAGGATCCAATATTATTGTACGATATGCAATATTGAGGACTGGCACAAAGGTGAAACTTGTGTTTTTGAAGTGCTGAAAGACCAAGAATGAAAAGTGTTATACAAGTTTACCTCAAGCATGTTGTACTTGGTGTAAAAATATACTTGTATTTTATTTACATGGATTAATGCATTTTCTTCTAAAAGTCATTTCATTTCAAGATGTTTTTATTTTAAATAAGTGTTTAAAATTAAAATAAAAATGACCAATATCAAACATGATACTTATTGTATTGGGCATAAATGTAGCATCTGATGAAGTGTGCTCTTACTCATGAAAGCTTATGCCTCTCTGATTCAGTTATTCTATAAACTGGTATACTAAGGCATAATTACCTTGAGTAAACTTCTGCCATAAACCATTCTCCTTTTCATATTTCTGACTTTTTAATCTTCTTCCATGATGCTGGCTGCACATGCCATGATATTCCAAAACTGTTCAGCAATAAATACCCATTCCACCTTTCTTAAATGACTCACTTTTTGACATGGCATGTACAAGGAATGCTATAGTGAAGAAAGGTAAAATATTAACTACTACATTGTACTCATCTTACTGAATGGCCATGCAATTGGTACTGTTGTCAGATTCCTTCTGTTTCTTTCTCTTGCTCCATGTTTTTCCTTTGTTATAGCCCTCATTTTATGAGGCATGTTACATTTAGATTTCATACTTTTCCAGGCATACTTTTCCAGGCATACATTCCACAAATACTGGTATGTATTTGTTTTCTGAGTTAACTGCATATATACAATTAGGCAGAAAAAAAGGTAATTTTCCTGACTAGGCTTTGATGATGCTTTATGCTGACACAAAAAGTTAACAGTAAATGAATAGTCTGACCCTACCGGGTGAAATTCATCCCTCTGCTAAGGGCAAACACAAGTTCCTGTCAAACATTATTTTGAACATTCAATGGAGTACAAGCACAGTGCTTCCCCTCTGCACGGGGGTCACTTTTACACACTCACACTTCATTCATACTTAAAATGTCCATTGTGATAAATGATTATTCAGTACAGTACAATGAGGCAGAATATCTCAGGCCTGGATTCAACAAAGCACTTAAACACATGCTTATGTACCACAGCAACCAGCTCCCCACAGATCCAAAGGATTACTATGTAGTGCTACAGTAAGTGGACTATGCAGTGTCATGCCTTAAGTCGTTATTTATGATAACTGTATAAATGATATTCTCCTGATACAAGCTCCACCTTTTAAATATCCTTAAAGGCTGGATATAGTGAAATTAAATGAGAATAACAAAAGAGATGCACATTTGGAGAACCAGGATTGTCAGTCAGTCTCACTACTGTATTTGTAATGCTTACCATTACTGAGACTTTGGAAATGAGTTACATTTATTACTAGTACATATACCCTTCCCTCATATCCTTCCTCTCGCTGACATTTCTGTAAAATTTTTAATTTATCTTCACTGGAAACAAATGTCCACTTTCCTGTACAGTTATTAATATTGGATCCATCCAATCCTTCAAGTCTGGTTTTCCTATCTCCTTTAGCACATTCAAAATGCCTTTACTTAACCACCATTGATCAGAGGAAGGTGCCCTCCTTGCATTTTCTTACCTTCATAATCAGGAAGGTAAACTGTTCCCAAAGACCCCGTGGTCTTTTTTATGTGGAGACTAAAATAAAAACATTTACTTACCTGTCCAATGTTGGAGATTAGGACGGAAAATGTAGTTATACCTAAAGCTATATACAATTCAGGAAAGAGAAAGAGGTTATGGAAGCTCTCTGAGAAAGAGGAGGGAGGGCAAAAGTCTATGAATTTTTAAAATGAAGCCTGAATGTTTATGAGGAGGATTATATGATGCGATTGCCTGCAACAGCAGGGGTTTCCACTTTAGGACCCAAGGAGATCCCTTCAAGTTCGATGTTTCTTTGATTATCCCAAATACAAACACAATGGGAGAAAGAATGAATTTTACATGAAGGGGTGGAACATCACAATCAATTAGGGATGTAGGGATCTCCAAAGTGAGATCAATTCTCCCTTGAGGGAGGAGATGATTGGTGACTCCAGGAAATGAATGGCCTGGGGTTTGCCAGCACTACTATGGTGCCTTGCAGCTGCTATTTAAATATAATTCTCTATGACTCACGTAGAAAGTTTGTGATGCAAAGGTGCCATAGAGTTAGTTATTAAGTTAGTTGCAGTTATCTAATTTAATGAAGTGGCAGTATACGGCTTTTAAATCCAATCTGAAAACTATATTTTTATATCATGTCCATCATTTTAGTGAGAGAGTGGCATATACCATATGGGTTTCTTTATTTGCTAACTGCAAGAGGCAACAGTGACACTGTATCTGATATATTAAATAATGTATTTCTGATTAAGCTTTCAGAGAGGCATACACAACTCTCATTCATTTCAATTCCATTCTCATTGATAAGTATTGCTATCCTCTAGCAAAATTAGCTCCTCTTCACAAATAAAACTACTCAACTACTCTCAGTTGATATACTTTCTTACCTGTTAATATTGTGTTAGGAAATATTCTGTTTGGAAAACAGTAATACTAATGTTCACTAATGAAACTATGAACTATAGAAGGTTTGGGATTAGCTGTAATAGGGAGACTTTCAAAAATCAATGGTATTTGTTTGTGCTCCAAAATCACTTAGGTACTTTTGGAAAATCCATTTTAATGCTTATTTATATTTATAAACCCAGCAATTGTATACTGTAGTAAAGGATAAAAAGCATTATTTCAAGTAATATAAGGTAGTCTTTCAATAGCAATGAACTTTTCTGGAAGTTTCCTGTAAGCTTACTACTTAAACAAGGGTGAGGGTGGTATTTGGAGCTTTCATAAAGAATAAAAACTACAATAATAAATAATAATAATATATAGATCTATAAATACATTGCTGTATATGCAGCATAATTATTTTTTAGAGTGATTGGTAACAATTGTGCTATGGAAATGATTTCTTACATGGAAAGGACAGAGTGGCATGCAGGTTTCTCCACAGCAATTCACAATTGACCCTCCTTCATTTACTTTAATGACTGAGACTTTATGTCACTGCAAATAGATAAAGTTGTGGATTTTACATTGAGCTATCTTGAGGTTTTCTACCTCAATCTAAAATCCTATTGGTGATAAAAGTAAAAACAGGTAGTTTTAACCTCAATATAGTTACAGTAGACCAGCTCTATGACCTCCACTTAGGCTTCACATTGATTAGCTACTTCAAGATAAAAAAAATATCTGTGCCTAGTTCTGACTAAGATTTTATACTTATGGAGCTATCACAAATTGTCTTCCTCAGGAGCTACCACAGGTTCTCTCTCCCAATGCAAACTGGACCACTTGGTCTGAGTGAACAGTGATGAATTACAAAAAAATTGTGCTCGTGGAAAAAATCAAAACAGAATTCTTTTGCATATTCTGACTTGTACTTATGTAGAAGTAATGAAGTTTTATTAATGACACCTCACCAACTACTCTACCACTAACTCTTTGCAGAGAAAAAGAGAATGACAACTGGGTTTTCTGACTAAAATGCAAATTAAGGAAGATATTTTTCAAAGAACTTTAAAACACACCTAATCCTTCTTGAGTGACAAAACAATAAAAGTTTCTTATGCTGAATAGAAGAGCTTCTTCCTGAAAAGTTGTGAGTAATATGTTACAGACCTATTACGCACCTACAGAAACTAATGTGGTATGATGTAATCTGTGGTGCCATAACATCACCTGAATAAAATATACACCCATCAATAATTTGCCTGTAATTACTGGGAAATGGATCTGCTCACACCCTAAACACACAAAACTAAGCATCACATATGCATCTAAAATCACAAGCAAGTCCAGTGATAATACGCCTTTTTTAAAAATTACAACATACATTTTTCTACTGCTTCAAAAACACAGACACCAATAAAATAATGTTTGTGCATATGAGAACTAAACCGAAGCTTATTGGTACTAAAGAACCACTCCATTGCATTCAAGCCCTTCCACTGGTCAAAGCCATTCTTTAGATGTTACAGTACACTTTGCATCATGTTTTATCTCAGAGGGAAAAATCTCCAAGTAGCAAAGCAGACTCAAGAAAGTTTCAAAAAAAGTGGGAAGAAAATATGAATGAGAACGTCTCCACTTAACAATCATGAAATAAAGGTGCTGATGCACAGAGACAATTGGAAAAGAAACAGAAAGTGCCCTGATTTCATCTCCATTCATAACTGTACGCAGCTCTGCGTGTGCTGTAAAATCCAGGTGACCCTGTCCAGTTGAGCAGATTAGCAACATTCGGAAGGAACAATGCAATGTAAAGAAAGATACTTTACACAGTCTAGATGGTTAATTTTCTACCTCTGGGGACTTTTTACCATCTTTAATTTCCCCTGAGCCTGAGGAAGGGCATGTTCTGGAAAGCTTGCAGAAAAAGATAATTTTTTTTTTTTTTTTTGCAATTTCTTAGTTGGGCTAATAAAAGGTATCATCCCTGAACCAAGAGTTCTAGAGTTTCACATACTTAAGATGGGAATACTTTGGCAGTCAGCTCTCTTTATTTATTCTAACCAAGGGGAACAAGCCCCTAAACGCGGTAACCCCAATCCTGCAGAGCAGCCAAGAAGAAGGCAGGGTTAACAACCCCTGGGCAGCTAAGGAACCGCGTGTTGCTGGCATCCTGAATACAAACGTCTGCCCCCCGCCCCCCCGTGAAAGAGGAGGGTGAGATCCCAAACCCAAACCACCAGCCGCGGGAAGGGAAGTGGCCCGGGGTAAGGCGGAGGCTGGGGCAGCACAAGGTACAATGGACAGCTCCTCACTTACCGTCCTCATTCTCATCAAACACGGGAGTTTTGTGGGAGTGACTGCCACCCATATTATTCCACAGCTTCTTCCACATCCCCAGCCAAACGCTCCAGAGGACGGGCCGCCAGCATGCCCCGGGGAGAGGGGACAAATCCAGACAAAGGACGAGCAGAGGGGGGTCGCCTGCACTTTCTCTGCCCGCCGCTCACTCCTGCTCGCCTTGCACGCAGCGAGGAGCCCCCGCATGGCCCTCCATGCTCAGGCCGGCCGCCGCCTCCGATCGCGGCAGCAACTCGGGAAATCCTCGGCGGGGCTGGAAATCATCCTGCGAAATGAAAGTGATCCATCTGCCTCGGGCAGGAATTGCTGCTACCACTTACTAACTTGATACATATTTCATAGCAGACGGCCGGGAGGGGAGGGGAGGGGAGGGGAAGCGAGAGGGATGAAGGGAGGGCGGCGGCGGAGGTCCTGCTGATGGCTGCTCTCGGTGAAAGGTAAAAGCTGGATCTACCTGGATCCTGTCGGATCCTGCTGAGATGGGCACCCGGGAGCCATGTAACCACGTCTGCAGCCCGACCCCGGGGCAGCCCCCGAGCAGGCGGTGCCCGCCCCTGGATCCTGGGGGTGCCCCGCCAACATTTGGTCCCAGGTGTCACCATCCCAATGGAAAGGGGGACCTGCTTGTGTTGTGCCAGCAAGAGCTCACTCCCAGCTTTGATTTCAGCATCTGGACGGGACCCCAGGACACAGGGATGTCACCCCTCCCCCAGGAGAGGAGCAGGGTCCCCAGCCCATCCGGGCAGAAAGAAACGGCACGCGTGGACTTCAGTGGCAGCTGCTGTGAACTTTCCTTCTCCCCTTGTCAGCAGCGGACTTTGCATGTCTGGGGGCAACCTGTGGCAGGAGCTAGTGCTGGTTTCTTTGTCCCCCCCCTCACTCCCCCCAAACTTACAATCTTTTCCCGGGGCGCAGACACGGCCGGGGCTTGTGTGTGGCCAGGGAGAGGCCTGGACCCACATGGTTTCTGCTCGTGTCAGAAGAGACCCCGGGTCCCCGTGGCGGGAAGGGGGGGCGCGAGCCGCTGCTTCACATCTGCCGCCCGCCGCCCGGCCAACGGCTCCGAGCCGGGGAGGGGGAGGGGGCTGCTCCCGGCAGCCGTGTCAAGTGCCGGGGCCGGGGCAGTGGGACACGCGTGCTCCTGTGGCGGGGCTGGATCCGCGGGGAAATGCCGCGCCGCGGAGCGAGGCAGGGAAGGCGACGCTGAACCCGAGCGAGGGCCGGGGGCTCGCACTCGGCCGGGCGCAGGAGGAGTTAAGCCGCCCAGACACCTGCTTGCCCAGCCCCGGGAGGAGATGCTCGGCCTGACACCGCCACCTACCGCCCGGCCCCGTCCTCGCCCCGGGACACGCGGGACGGGCTCCCCGCGCAGCCCACAGGGGCTTCCCCGTCGCCACCCGCGGGGAACCTGCTTCTCCTATAACAGCATCGCCAGTGGCCGCACCGGGGGGAGGGGGGAAGAGAGGGATTTTCTCCCAGTGAGCTGTGACCCCCTGTCAAAAACAGCCCCTTGTGCCTCCCATTTGTTCCCCTTTTGATCCCTCCCTCCCCGCGTGTATTCCTGACAGGCCGGGCAAGGGGCGGGTTTGTCAGGAGGCCCCAGGCGCTCTCACAGCCTTGTTCTCTCCTCTACACTTCTGCCCCACTCCTCCCTGACCTGCGTCACGCCGCGCATGCAGTGACACCCTGGCAGCTCATCTTCGCCCGCAGCCCACCCCTGCGGAGAGACCCGGGTGTGGAGTGGTGCTTGGGGGCTGGAACAGGCTTGAATCACCTTGATGCTCTCTGTTTGTCTTAGAAAAGGTAAGTAAAGAAGGGATACGCCTTGCACTTGGAGCAGAACACGGGGAGGCTTGGGGTGGCCTTTAGTTCTTGTCTGGGCCTAGGACAGCACCCCTGAAAAAAGCACTGCTCCTGCTCTGCTGCATGCTTTAGCATGTGATGGCAAACAGGGAAACATTTGCTTATTAAATAATGCTGAAGTTAAAAAAAAATCTGAGCAAATCCCACTGGGATTCATATTCTGCAACAGTTTATTTCTAAAAGACAGGAATTCAGAGTTCATTTTGACCACTACCCCTGGGCTTGAGTTTGAATGATTTGTGTATTACCCGCTTCATGAAAAGCCCCTTGAAGTCAAGGGAAACATTTCTAACTTTGGATGCTAGCTTGGGTAGCAGCAGCAGTCTAGCCCCAGAACATAAAGCTTTGCACTCAGAACCACAGTGCTGGGGCTGCCACAGCCAGACTGATAACCATGCCCGAGCTAGCTAGTTTAGGTAGTTGTAGCATGTCTATACCTCTCTGCAGTCATTGCTGTAACTAAAATCAGCACTTCCCACATATTCCCACACATTTATGGTATGAGCCCAACTTTTCCAAATAAGCTTTCATTAGGCTTATAACTTCATTTGTAAGTCATGACCCAGTCTGGAAACTGATATCTTAGGTTATCAGATCCAATATTTTCAGTCTCTGTACCCAGCCTTGGTTATTCTCATTTTTTAACCCACTCTAAATCTGATGCAACCTTTTAGAGAGGAGTTGACTAAAATGGAATACAATGGGTAAGTGCCTGTAGTAGCTGTCTAATAGGTAGGTGTGCAGCGCAGACGGCACAGTGCATACAAACAGCTACAGATGGCTGAATGGTATCTTTCCATAAACAAGCACAATAAGAACACCATCTCATTATCAGAATATCTCAATTATTACTCTCTATTTATGAACATGTTCAGGACACAAAAAGCCTCAGAAATATTGACATAGATAAATAATCATTAAAAAAAAATCCCTCTCTTGGAAGTGCATTATTTCCTATTTGTTATTCTTTATTCATTATTTTCCTCTTCAGAAGGAACTTCAATCAGCTAGTCAGGAAACAGAAGCAATATCATAATAGGTGACTCACCACCACTACAAATAATGGTAGAAAGAGTGAGTTCACAAAAAGCCCATAGACTGAATATTGTTCATATAAGAGGCATGCAATACTTTCATAGAAACCAGAATTTGTTTAGGAATCATTTATATACAGGAAGCCATTGTCCCATATCAGATGATTTCTTTACAACAAATATGGCCACCTCCAAGAGCAGCTCTAATATTGTTTAGATCTTATTTAATCTAATTCGAGCCTTCAGTGAATCTTCCTAGATGCTTTGTATGCATTCACAGGTTAAAGTCCAACATGATTCAAAAGTTTTATCATAAACTTAGACGACAGTTGGTTGCCACTTTTTATTAGGGGTTCATTCACAAAGTACCTCAACTGGCCTTGAAAAAATTAGTCCAATGGACTACCATTTTTTTGCCTCTAGTTCTTACTATGGTAGTCAGTCCATGGAGCTTTCTATCAACCTGTCCTTGGTTTGTAGGAAGTACTGCTTCATGTTTAAACAGCATCATAGCCTGAATGTGTATACAAACAATACAGCATGCTTATGTTAGATGTGAAAAATTAATATACATTAATAATGTATTGAAGAGCAACTCATTCATGATTTATTAATTGATAACAGTACATTCATTAGTAACCCATGACCTTAAACAGTGACAGATGTTCTTCCTTATGGTCATTTTCAGTGTTTAGTTATCAAAAATACGTATTTAAAATGAAAATAATTTTCCATTTTGTTATTCCTGAGGGATATGGGCACGTTATAATGGCCTCCTTTTGACCATAGAGATGCCTACTAACTTACTTGTAGTATGAGTAATTTCTGGCTTAGAACACTATTTTCTTGTTTTTCCTGAATCTGAATATCATCTCCACAGCAGCACTCATGGGAATAAAGATAAGGCAACAAAAGGAAATTCCACCTCCCATTCCATGTTCAAGGTCTGGTATAATTCCTACTGAAGTCAATTGCAAAACTGCAAGCCTTCAGATGTAAGCTCCTCCAGGCTCTCTGCACCATACATACTCTGCACTCTTAAGAAATATACAGTAACAATCCTCCTTTATGTAATACCTGAATCTGAACTCCAGGGCAACTTTTACAGTCTTGGCCTCTCTTTTTACTCTCATTAGTTTTATAGGATCATTTATTTATTCATTCAATTCATCCATCCCTGTGTTTTTCTTACTGCTTTGGGATTTAAGATTCAACATTTACGTAGCACAATCACACATTCTGATAGTACTCTAAGTATAGACTTTTGAGAGACATTTCAACCTAGACTAAATTAAGTCTAATAATTATTACTGTGGAACAAATACTTCCTCTCAGCTGCACAGTGAAAATACAGAAGAGCTCCTGTGACTTCACTGAAGTTATTCCAATTATCCCCATGTAAATAAGAGCCAAATCTAATCCTGCATGCTTGTCTATTCTGTTTAACAGCTACCAGGCTTCCTTACAGAATGTATTCCATTGTTGACACTTGCACACTGCAACAAAATATGGAGAAATGGTATGTTTTGATAAGGAGGTGGGAAAAGACAGTTTGCTAGAGCTGAATATATATATATATTTAATATTAAAAACTGCAGGCTCATCTCACTATCTTCTTTCAAAGAAGATATTTTACATTTTCATTAAGACCCATGTTATACAGTTTTTGATTTTTTGTTATTGCTCATTGTGCATGGAATCTGTAAATCACTTCTAATGTAACATGATTACATTCCCTTGCACTATAAAACTTCCCATAGGGCTTTTTTGTAGTTTAGAATCCATAATTAGTAATTCTGTGATTAAAGCTTTTATATTAACATACCTCTGACAAGCAGTTACAGGATGACCTCAGAGTTCCTGATTTCAGCACATACCCTGTTGTAATGACAGCAATAAATTACAGATTGTTTTGCACTGTAGTTTTACTATTTGAGTACAATGCATGAGTCAGTACTTGATTTTGAAAAATACCTCTCTGATTTTCATCTTTATCATCATGCCCATTTTAAAATGAGAAGGATCATCAGGTAAAGAGCTCATTCTGTGCAACTGGAAGCCTCAACCCACATAAATGTGCTGTTCACCTCTCCTCTTACTGGGAGAAAAAAAAGGAAAGATATCTTTGTACTGTAGACTGAACTGCAAATGACACTCCCTAAATTCTTGTGGCTCTCTAGCTTTGGGGTTATAGTTAAGATCCATCCCCACTTATAATACCTTTCCCTGCAAAATAAATGTTCCCATTCACAAAACCAAGCTAGACTGAATTATTTGCATAGGATAAGGGACACATTTAAAAATATATGCTTAGGTTCTAGAGATATTACCAGTTACAGACATTCGTATCATTGGTCATCAGAGGGACAAACGATCTCTCTAAAAACTCTACTGTATCCAAAACTAGAATGGATTTAAATACACATAATGTGGGTGTGTCTACAT